TCTGAAAAAAAAATAAAATAAAATTTCACAAAATTATACATTAAGAAAAATAAAACTTCAGGTATTAAAATAATTAGTTAAAGTTTCATTATAATTATACCCATACCACACTTGTAATATTCACCATTCATACATATCATGTACCGCTTATTTCTTACTAATCATACTTGTTCTGCATGGTGTGTTTCTCTCAAACGAACAGCAATTAAACTACACCGCACTATTTAATCTGTTTATCCCGCACTACCTAATCCGCTGTCACCATTCGGAGCCTCGAGGTTGTGATTGGAAACACTAAAATTTTGGCTTTGAATAAATATTTTCGAAAACAAAACATTCATCACCAATCAGCATTTTTTACTACATATTTGCGTATTTTTTAAAAGAAAACATATATTACAATTTTCAAAAAAGTAAAAGCATGTAGACTGCCTTTCAAAATTCAAACAGCTCTTTACTTTCCAATCCAATGAAATCTGCAAATGGATTATACACCTTTTATTATTATTTTTATTTTTAATTATTAAAAATAGCTATTCTTACAAAATAATTATGATTATTTTTAAATATATATTTACAGTAAGTAAATACACTTTAAATTTTTATCAATAAAAATAAAATAGTAAATAGTTTACTAAATTTATTTATGAAAAATTGCAGAGTAATTGTTGGATTTTTTGAATGTAGATATGTCTTCTGGACAAACATGTTCAACTCATCCAATCGAAATTTTAAATCTTCCCATTAAAAACAAGTATGTGTCGAAGATGATTACGATGAATTTATAAAAACGGAAGCAATATTCATTGCGCTAGACCTTCCTAAACATACTAGATTTTATTGGGCATGTATTAGTACACTTAAAGAGCAAGTATGTTGGCGTAAATAATTCCATTGATATACCTGGAAGTACCGATGAAGATAAGCTACACATGCAGGAAATTAAACTGGTATTTTGTGGAACAACGGAGATGTGCCAAAAAAATTAGGTTTAGGCCAATAATATTTTTTTATTGTGATTTTTTTTTATGATTGAACTTTTTTTATTCTAGATCAATTTGGATATTTAAGGTTCATAAATATATGAAAATATTTCTTCATTACCACAAAAAAAAACACTAATTTTTAATTATAAATATATTTATTTATAACATATTTATCTATAATCAGTAATGCGCACCTCTTGTTGTTCTTACCATTCAAACTTTTTATTATGTACCGCAAATAGATTTTTCACCTATCAAACTTGATTCCATACCGCGTATTTTGTACTACTACACTTGTCCCTTAAATACTTTTCTCCCTCACGTACCACAGTTGATATATACCGTACTAGAAAACCGCTTTTCCTGCACAACTAAATACGGTATTACCATTCAGATCCTAAAAATATGAGTTTTATTGTTATTGAAGGCATTTACTAATGTGTAATATGTGAAACATGTCAACCTTAGAGCATAGAGTAGTGAAGCCATTTGATCAAAAAAAAAGAGTAGTGAAGTCATAGATTAGGACATGAAAATTTTGGATGCATTTTTATGTAAAAATTATTTACACCGTTTTATGTATAACATAAATTATATGATTTTTCTATATAAAAATAATAATTATTGGATTTTTTCTAAATAGCGGTAGTATGATTTTACTTAAAACGATTATAATTAAGTGTATTATTTTAAAATTATGATTTTCGTTACTAAAATTTAGGTTTTTAAAAGGAAAAAAAAAACATACTACACGATGAAAAATGACATATTTTTTCATTTCAGTTTCGGCGTATGACATCAAAAAATGTCAAATCAGTCTATGAAATATAACATTTTTTAAAAACAATGAGAAAATTTAATCTATGACTTACATCTTTAGGAAAACTTCACACCTCAAACGGGGCCATTAGTCCACCATAGCTTATTTTTTCTTTCGTCAAAACAAAATCATCCATTTAAGCTTAAAAAAGGTTTCTTGCATTGAAAAAACAATCCAGAGTAGGAGAGCATAGATGGAAAATAAAGAATTTCGTGCATATGCATTTTTTGTAAGACAATCTGCACTTACATTATTACAACATTAAAGATAATCAAGGAAAAATATATATATATTCTAATTTCGCAATGGATGAACACTCATCTGGAGCGTCAATCAGTTGAATAAAAACCTTACAATCTGTCTCAAAAATTACATTGGTTAAAGGAGACAAAATAAAGCATATCATTTCCTAAAGTAGCGATTCAAATTATGTGTGAAAGAATGACAAAAATATGTGTGAGCTATTAATTTTTACCCAAGAAGGATAAACTAACATAATATGAGTTAGAAAAAAGTGAATGATATTGTTATTGTTGTAAGGATTGCGAAATCTTGGATTGAAAATCACGAACATAAATCGATCAACGAGATAAGAATATGCGGATTTGATATGTTTCCTTAATTCAATAAATCTCTCGTAGTGTGGCAGTTTTGATGAGATTTTGAATCCCATGATACAACTGTGTTACCACTATAATCTCAACCCTCGATTATAGAATCTTCGAACGGTTCTATATACCCTCGAGACTTACTTTTAAAGAGTAGAGACAAGATTCGAAGCTTTCCAAGCTACTTAGACCTCATTTCTCATTCAAATTAGATTTGATTTTGACATGTAAATACACAATATTGTATTATAGTGCCCATTACTTTGTCAAAATTTGAATTCCAACAATTTTTTTGTTGAATAATTGAATAATAGAATATAAACTATTTAAATTAGCTTTAAATCATTTGTTTATATTCTTTATAGTCTCTTTCAATTAGTTAAGTTTAAATTAGTAAAAGACTAAACTAATGTGGAGAACAAGAAGAAAGGAGGGACCATTTGTATTTTGCTTTTCTTATTTGACTGATACATTGATAGGTAATCTCATCAGCCTAGACTAGTATGTCACGTTTCAGTCTCTGGGGCACTACTTCCTCGGCTGGATTTTGTGTTGGCTCGCTTGGTTTCTTAGACCACAATCTACCATGTGTGGAGAGAACGGAACGAAAGTCGGCACCAACAGCGCCACCATTCCCATGTTCTGCTTGTACACATCATCATATCGACAAGGTGATGTTGTATCGTATATGTTCTCTTATGCATCAACCTTCCTAGATTCATGAAGAGCTTCTCAATCGTTGGAACTATTGCAAGAATCTTCCACAAAATTTGTTTTTTAGCTATAATTCCACGTTTGGTTTTCTATTTTTTCTACCTTCCTAATTTTTTGAGCAACCAATTCTTTATTTCTCTCCCTTTCATTGTAAATGTATCTTTTTGTTGATTAACTAGGATATGACCCGCGGTACACCGCGGGTTAATTATTTGTTTTTTTTTTGTTTTTTATAAACTTGTAAATTTGTTGTGTATAATATTTTTTGTTGTACACCGCGGGTCACATGCGTTGTATATAAAAAATAAAAAATTTAAGTTGTATTTGTTTTTTTTTACTATTTAAGATTGTATGATTAAATTTTGATTTGTTAATTCTAGGAGGATGTTATTCTCTTGTACCCTTTGACCAATAAAACATTTCTCATATACTCCTCAATGGTAGAAAGACAAAATTACCCTTAATGAGGGTTGATTTTGGGTGATAAAGGTTAAATACAATTAAATCGGTAAATGTTCAACGAAAAACACAATAGCTCAGTGGTTGCGAGCTCCTCATGCGCGCGCCCCCAGGGTTCGAATCCTCTTTATACCAGTTGTAACTGGTACAACTAGGTATTATTCTGGTACAACTACGTTGTATCAGTTGTACCAGTTGTACCAGTTGTACCAGTTGTAACTGGTACAACTAGGTATTATTCTGGTACAACTACGTTGTGGTACAACTAGGTGGTACAACTAGGAGGAGGAACAACTAGAGAGGTACAACTAGGAGCTGGTACAACTAGAGAGGTACAATACAACTAGGAGGAGGTACAACTGGTAGGTAGGGGTACCAGTTGTACCACGTAGACCTAGTAAAATTTTTAGAATATAGTAAGGGTAGAAGGGTATGTAGAATAAATGGGGATAGAAGAGAAAAGTTTTTCACACATAGAGGCACAAGAGAATAAGATCCATTCTAGGATTTCACCTGTGGTATATTGTCCCGTATTAATATCGACCCAAACCCGTCCCACCATATACTCCTGTCCTGTGGAATTAAACATCATTTTGTTATTTTTTAAAATAACTTTGAAAGACATATAATTCGAGTTAATTTAAAAGTTTATTTTCAAATGGTTTCCATAATATATATATTTTTAAATTAGTATGTGTTTTTGGACCAACTCGTAAAACCAATTTATAATTGTATCTTAAAATACTAAATAATTATATTTTGATTTGTTAATTTTAGGATCTCACCCGTGGTATATTGTCCCGTTTTAGATCATTATAGAAATTAAAAAAAGATCTGAATGACTCAATTTCAGGTCAAAATAAAAAAAACGACCTGATTAAATGTGCAATTTCTTCTTGAAAAATGTTCATATAGATTATACATATACTTTTTTTCTTCATCGATTGAGTAATATATGTCTGTTTTAAAAAATTTGAATCATAACATATGTAGAAAAAAAAACTAAAATTTATTAACTATATATATTTTATAATAATTCAAAATAATATAAATATAAGATCAAATAAAAGTGATATGATAATCATATATTTATGTTTAAATTAGGTAGAAAGGTTTTAGGAAATTAGCTCAAATTTGTTATATTAGCATTAAATTATCATATTTGATTTCCTAATCTATAAAAATTGTAAAGAATATACCATAAATAAAGAGTTTAGATATAGTAATTAGTTGAGAAATTATATATAATTTAGATTTTATTAGGTATTTTCGTTTTTAAATTTTGCCATAATTTAAGGAAAGATCCGATTGAAGATTTCCGGGTCAAAATCAGAAAAAACCCGACCCGATTAAAGGAGCAAATTTGTACTTTAAAAATGTTAAGTAGATAAATTTAAAATTAGAGACACAATATAAAATTATCATTTTCAACTCTTGAAGATCGATGAGAAGATTACACAACTATATGATCAATGCATACAAAACGGAGAGAAACAACATCGATGTTGAAATAGAGAGAGAACGGCATATGTGAGCCAAAGAGGCAGAGCGCGGAGTGGAATTATGAACATCCGTTTGTCCAGAGTTTTTGTCGGAGGGAGTAACTGGTGAAGGGAGAATCATCTGCGGAGGAGCAGGTAAAGTTTGCCTTGTCGGGGCCGCGGCTGGTGGTAGACGTGGCGTTGTTGGCGACACTGGAGCCATGGAAGTCTAGGAGACGGAACAAAAAAAAATTATGGTTAAGCCAAATATCAAAATAAGATCCTATATTGTAGTGTCTTTCATAGACTTTGCCTCACGTTAAATTAACATCATAAAAATCATATGTTCAATTTAAAATCTCAAGTAAGCTTTTTGTTCCAATAACTCTAGTTACTAAGTTGTCAATCCGATTTTCGGTTCGGATTTTTCAATTTTCGACTTTTACAAATCAGGAAAAACAAACTATCTAACATTCTATTCGATTTGATACGGTTTAAGTTAAGATTCAATTTTTCCATAAAATGTTTGAAAACTTACTTGGTTATTGGTAGTCTTGGTGAGCCCGATGTCGTAAGTCATGGTTAGATCAGGTCTAAACAAACCGAAGGCTCGTTCAGAGCCTTTCCCGGGCTTGAGATTCTCGTCATACAATGCGAACAAGTATGTATCGATCACTCTCCCGGGCATCAGTGGCGTCCCGGACCCAGATTTCAAATGAGCAATGAGGTTTTTATTGTAAGCTCTAGCGTTCTCAACTGTTGCACCAGCCTCCTCCGGGTCACCCTTGTACGGCCACCCAGTCTCAGCGACCACTATCTCTACATCTTTGAACCCCATCGAGTTCAAAGCTGAATACACCGCATCAACCTTCATAAAAACCAAATTTTACCACAAAACAGATTTAATATCATCTATCTTTTTTGTTTTTTTATATGTTACAAATCACATCTTTGTATTCATTTACTTTTTCTCTAAGTATGAATTTATAATTGCAAATTTGGATATCAATTTTCTTCCTTCCACTAACTTTAATAGGTACACTCACTTTGTGTCCTTTACCGATTTATACTACTTTTCCTTCTAGAGTACAGTTTTCACTTTCCATTCATTTGACGTAACGAATATGCCAATCTCTTTAATTTAACAAAGTTTTCTTTTTCCAAAACCAAAATGTAGAAAAATAAAATCCATTTATCAAACATATCAACTACTAAAATATCATCTCGTTCTGCTTTTAATTATACTAAAAAGAAAATTCATGAAATAAAATCGTTTATCAAAAACAAAAACAAAAACGGAATAACAAGAAGTAACTTCTAGTAAAATTTGTTGCACTAAAATTTCGGTACATAAATAGTAACTTCTAGTAAAATAGCTAAAACTTAAAATATGTCAAGAAGGGAGTAATGTAAAACCTGAGCATCGAACATGTTCATATACTTGAGGTTGCTCTTGGGGTCGACACGGCCAGGATTGGCCTGAAACAAGCAATAGGCCAACGTTTCGGGTCTCCGGTCATCCTGGTAAGCGAAAAACGGGTACGGATTTACCGCGAAAGGCGACCCGGTTTCACTATTAAACTCTAGCAATCCTTTCAATATATCAGCATGCTCCGGTTTAAATACCGCGGCCGAAGGAGGGTCTGACCCGGCCAGAACCGACATTACATGTACCGTCGAGACCTTAATTTTTCCGCCACCAAGAGACGCCGCCTCGAGAGCACTTTGGACATTTTTCATTGCCGGCAAAAGCTGCGACATGAGATTGTTGTCGCCAAATGTTGTGATTTCATTCCCCACGGCTATGAGAACAATCTTGCTCGCTGGATAGTAAGGTACCACGTTGGTTTGGACCCAGCTTCGAGCGAAACTCGGGTCGGATGCTAAACCGGGTACATCACCATTCGATGCCCCGATAACGATCTCGATCCCCGTGTTTGAGAGGGCCTTGATAACAGCCGGGTCGGATCCGTAAAGACGGACTTTTTGGAAAGTTGTGGACTGAAGGAGCTTCGCACTCGCTGACGGAGGCGGAAGATTGTCAGCGGTTAGGCCGTAGTTTACTCCGAGGAACGGTTGAGACTCTGTTTTGATACATGTGAAAGAATCCGAGTTAGAGAAAGTTTTACGTAGTAAAAAAAAACAATGAAACTGTTGTAAAACTTACTTGATAGATGTAATAAACACGAGAATAAGAGAAGGATCAATGAAAAAACAGAAGCTACCATGGCTGTTCTGTTTTTCCTTTTTTGTTCTTTTGAGTTTAAATGCTCTCTGTCTTATGTTTTTTCTTTTGTCTCTATATTATAGAGAAAACTATCGAGTAGAAGTGGGTAATCTATAGATATAGGTGTAGAAAACGACCGGCGTTGTAAAGGTAAATGTAACTTTTTCTTTCCAAATTTTAAATGGTAAAATAAAAAACACGACTGCTATCTTTTTTATTTGGACCAATGTAAGTTAGTAAAATACATTTGAAATTGAAATACATGAAGAGTTGTTATTTTTTTTTTTTTTTATGTATGTATTTATCCTAGTATTTAATTTTTCTTGTTTAGTAGGTTAATTTGAAATTGTCATTACAGGATTTATATACACAGTTCCTTTTTGTTTGGATTTGTAAGAGAGAATTATTTCTCTTTGTTTTTTTTTTTTTTGTCACAATTTATTTCTCTTTGTTTAGTAAACGAAGACTACTAGATCTATATAACAAGCTCTCGCATGAGTAGTTTAAAGTTTAAACAGCATAACAAAGAATTCTTTATTTAAAAAAAACTCATGATTATACACGTCAAGGCATATTGTTTTTGTAATCAGAACATTTCTGACACAGTTTATAAGCTGAGTATTTGAAATTTCAAATATACCCGGTGAATATAGATATATATTTCTGACATTCATTTAATGGTTTGTTTAGAAGCGAGTGAGTATTTGAAATTTCAAATATACCCGATAAAGATACAAAATGCATCATGGTAGTGTGTGTATAAGTACGTGTTGCATGACAATTAAAAGAGACAATAAAGGGGATTAAAACCCTAAAGTATCTTTAGTTAATTAGTTACATGAAAAAGTGAGACAGAATTATATAATGAATGCATTTTCCCACACTTAATGAAGCATTAATAAACACATAATTAACTAGTTTAAGTAATTGAGGGCTTTTTGTTAATTAGATTTTCCTTCTTGACTAAGAAATGGAGCAATGCATCGAAGGTGGTGGAGAAGGAGAGCAAGGAATTAGACATTCCAACATACACCACAAAGATGGAAAAAGAACAATAATATTAAAGAAGAAGAAGTCGCTTTTGCTGTGGCCTAAGGAAAAGATAAAGCATGTTTAAACTACTGTTTGTTTTTTTCCCTCAAAAAGACAGGAAAATTATTAAAACAAAAAGCACAAAAGGCCTAACATTTGAACCACAAGTTTCAAATTTGAATCATTTTTGTATTGCAACGTGATTGTCAAAAAATTTTATCGTTGACTGGTAAGAATCGTTATAGAGCAAAATGGTAGATGATTGTTCATGCATTATGAGTGTGTAATATATTTGAAAGAACAGACACACGTACGTGTGTGTGACAAAAGAACAGTGTGCCTTAGAAGAGTTGTTACTCAAGAGTTGGATAATCGAACATACCTTGATGCAAGTGCGTTCGTAGTTTGAAGAATGATTAGAACAGTGTACAAAACAAATACTATGAATTTCTGATATTTAAATTCCTATCAAAAAAAAAAAAAACTACTCGGATCGATAAATAGAAAATCGCTAAAATGATTAAAAATAATAACACAGATTACAAAACATAAATCTTAAATTCTCACAAGCTTTTTCATTTTCTGTCTCATTAATAATTATCGGATACCTCCACCAGCAAGGTCAGCAGACAAAGTTTTAGATCGTTAAGCGATAACTTGTGCAATGTAGTACTTCACAACCGGTAACTTTTGAAACATGTATGCATATAAAAAGATGCAAAGCAACTCAAAGAATATGTATATTAAAAAAATAAACCAGATATTGTCGAACAATGATATAATCAAAGAATTTGGAAGGCCTAAATTAACATATGTGACATGAATTTTAATTATATTCGTTTAAAATACATGTAACATATATCAAATTGGCCCTTGAAATCCTTTGATTATAACATTTTTTTGACAATATTTGGAACTTTATTCTTTGCAGTATCCACATTTTTTTAGTTTTTATGTGTTTTATATGCATACATATTTTTAAAATTACGCATTGCGAAGTACTACCGTACAGAAGCTATCTCTCAAAGAGAATAAATATTTGAGAAAAACACAAAAGCTCAATCTAAATTGTTACATTACTCTAGAATCTAGAGTAATGAAACAATTTAGGAGAAAAATTTGGGAACTCAAAAAAAAGTAGAGAAAGCAAAAGTTGGAATGGGGAGAAATTTAGTGGTTTTTTCTCTTTTAAATAATCGGTGAAAAAGTCAGAATAAAGGAAAAAAAATATAAATTGGTAATATTTATAATTTGTAAAAAAATTATTTTAAATATTTTTTTCTTAATTATTTTACCATAATATTATACTAGTCAAATAAAAAATTTATTATTTTTTCCATTTTACCATTCTATTGTACAAGTTTTCAGTTAAGCATATTCTTATGTTTGACTAAAAGTTTGTACAATAAATGGTAAATGAGAAAGATAATAAATCTTTTAGTTGACTAGTATATTATTATGGTAAAATAATTCGAAAAAAATATCTTTTGACTAGTATAATATGGTAGTAAAATAAAAATTTCAAATATTTAAATTCGAACCCCCAAAAGACATTACTCAGGTCAAATAGACTGTCGGATATTAAGATCTCAAATATGTAGAAATTATCATAAATTATTAAAATAATAAGATTAATTACAAAAAGAGATCTTGTAAATTTAATTTAAAATTTTAATTTATTTTTAAAAATTAGGATTAATCTAAAAATACCACACATTATTAACATACAGTTGAAAAGTACAAAAAAGGATAAAATATTTGAAATTTTTATTTTACTACCATATTATACTTATTTGAAATTTAAAATATGTATGCATAATATTTTTTAAAAAAATTCAAATATTTGAAAATGCTTATTGAAAATTTAGATCATATTTTTATACTAAATTTGAATTATTTTATCTTTTCATTGCAAAATTCAGGAGTCAAAACATAAACATCAAGCTACCAAACTAATAATATTAAAAAATGATTAGCAAATAGTATTCAATAATAAGACAACTAATTTTTTTTGCAAATATTTAAAAACTTTAAATAAAATCGAATGAATGTAAAATATCTTATATATTGTTCTTAGCACATACCTTTTGCAAAATAATTTAATCGAATATTAGGTTTCTTCATTGATGCGATCAAAAAATCACAATCTTTTTTATGATGTGTTTTCGCTATGTTTGTTCTATAAAAAGTACGGCGGATATGAACCCATAAAACTGTGAATTGGATCCTTTTATCAAACAAAAATGTTAACGTAGGTGACATAAAGATTGAAACATGCCAAACGACGTCGAGTAGACTAGTATTTATTCGACGTCGTTTAACGTGTTTTATTTTTGTGTTTCCTAGGTTAACTTCTAGTCCTATTTAAAAAGCTAAGAATACGTGTTCTTTTTGTTGACATCAAATACGATTATACGCACCCATTCTTATTAACCACGTATGAAAGGGGATATTATGGATTGTATATGCACGATTATATATCTACGAATCTGCTACTTTTGTTACATCAATTGGATTGATAATACACAAAAGACTCTCACTCTTCCATACCAAATCATTGCTCACACAAGGTAAAAAATAAAAAGAAAACCATTTTCAGACAAAACAATAACGAGTGAATTAATGTATGAAGATCATATATAATCACCTAAAATAAGAGCTCACTTTTGACTCGGAGAGAGTCTCGGCTATATGCATATAAGATCTCTTGTTATCTCCTCCAAAAGTCCACTGAAGACTTCCCTCTCTATATCCCTCATAACATCATCTTTCTCGATGAAGGCGAGCATCGAATCGTTCCAGCCCATATCCCACATTGAGTTCAAGTTTGGGTCTTTATAGTGAACATCTCTTTCCAACACATAGTCTTCAACATCTGATCCAATGTGGCAGTCCCTACCATAGGCTCTCAGCTTCTCTAACTCTTTGCTTATTTGTCTAATAAGATGGTCCAATGAGTTTACTTTAGAGGAACTTATGGGTGCCTTGACGAAAGGATGTACACTTAACTCTTGAAATCTCCTTTTTCGTTTCATTAGCTCGAAGGCACACTCGAGGATTAGATTCTTGTCTTCTTGATAGTAGTTGCTCCCACCGGTGGCGTCATGAAAGACATTTTGAGGAATGTTGAGTTTGAAAAGTGCCTTTGCTGTGTCTAGAAATAGTTGGCTTTTCACAAATATCTTCTTGAGGTTTATTTCATTTTCAGATAATGTCTCTGTAGTTTCTTGTTTCCGGTGTTCTTGTCGCTTCTCCAACAAGGGTAAACTAGCTTCTACCTCTCCTTTTGCTCCTGAAATAATTGAAACTTATTTTAGTTCCTTTCTATCTAAACAAAACTGGTGACTTGTTGAGCAAAATGCTTGTGGGTTTTATCATATGAGCAAAGCATAAGCCTTTGATATGTTTCTACACTGCGATTTCATGCATTGTTGGTCTCTTTGGGTTCCTTAAAGGACAATAATATCCACCCCGGCCCAATATATTTGGGGTTTTAGGACAAACATATATTTTGGACTTTCTAGAGTTCTAGATGAAAAATATGAAAATTATAAATATTTGGACCTATCTTTAAAGGTATTTTATAATAAATTTTTAAAAATTGGAAACTTTGGACCTATTTCTGGTAAAAACAAATTATGGAAAATCAAAATTTGTGCCTATTTTTAGTAAAAAATAAAATAAAATGGGTTCCTTTACAAAGGTAAATTTATAAATTAGTCATGGGCTCATTTGCCTTTTCACTTTTACCCTACCTATTTAGGCCGGGCCAGGAAATATGAGTTTCGTTTTGGGATCTCCCGGTTATCAAAAAAGCATAAATTTGGGTATGTTTTGAAACATTTGGCTACATGTTTTTGATTTTAGTGAGTGTTTTGGCTTTAATTTTATCAATACTTGATTATTAGTCATTTTAAAGGTGCAATGAAATTAATAACAAGACAATAATAGTTCATTCTTTGCTTCTTACCTTTATATACTGTCTTGGATAATATATCTGAATTTCCATCAGACTTTGATATTGGAGCTTGTTGATCCGTGAACATTAGCCCATGGTGCTGCTTATGAACATCCAACACAGATTAGAACTAACATAGAGATGGTATGTGAAGTTAACAAATAGTAAGCTTACATTTTCTGATGGAGCTTGGCATGGGACTCTCTCCACGGCAATGAGCAGAATTGAGTCATCTTTGATCTCTTTATTATTCTCTACCAAATTTTTGTTTGATGATTGAACCTCAACACCTGAAACTTGAGAACTTTTGATGCATGTCTCTGCTTCTGCTTTCATCTTGTTACTGTCATTATAACTTATGAGTAAAGTTTGATCATGTTTTCCATCTGCTTTTGTAATCTTCGGTCGCTTCATTACTTTGCACAATCCTTCATTTGGATTATAGATGTCTTGGTTTTTCTTCTCGCGAATCTTGGCTTTATGCACCTCTCCTTCTTTTCCCTTTTGTGCTACTTCAACATGAGAAAAACTTTTCCTCATAGCTTTAGCTTTGTCTGTGAGTGGTACCTTCGTTTGTATATCCACTGAACTCAAAGTTTTTGGTGAATGATTTGTCGTTACGCCATTTTCTTGCTGTCTGTCTCGCTGCAACTTCTCTTTCTTATAGCTCTTTTCTTCCTCACCTCCCCTAGAGTTATTGAGAATTTGTTTTTTCTCAAAACTAAGTTTATGTATAGGCTTTTCTTGGCTCCTTGCGACAACCTTAGGTTTATTTTGTGTTGGAGATGGATTCTTTTTGATAACATTTTTCGTCTTCATTTCTCCATCTTTCTTGTATGTAACCTTGCTTCTTTTTCTACTGTTTGAATCATCCTTCTCTCTATCTTTCTGTTGAGACTTGGCTTTGTTGTTTATCTCATTCGCGGTTTGAGTCTCCTTATGGATTACTAAATCCAATGATGTTGACTTACTTTGTTCCTTCAGCTCAACAAGATTGTCACTAGCTTGCATTACTCTACGCCTTATAAGTTTCTCTGCATCATTTTTATTGTTGGTCTCTTTTTCATCTTCTGGAAACTCCCCTAGTCCCATCAACTTGGCCACAACACTTGGAATCCTTCCTTTCTGAGGTTTCACTGATCTCTCTTCGGTATCTTCGCAACTACTAGTTTGCTTTCTATGTTTGATGTTTTTATCCTCTTGATAGTTAAGCGCCAATAGTCTCATCTCGATATCCGCCTTTGCGACTTGTTTGATCTTTTGGTAATTTAGATTATGAGCATCCTCTTCCTCCTCATCATTTTCTTCAAGAAGCTTGATTCTGTTTTTCCTCTGTTTGTTGGTTGTATACTCAGAAGCTTGTTGTATGTCTACAAGCAAACGAAGAGACTGTTCCAACTCAATGGCACCTTCCATAAGTTGTTCCCCGCATTGTATCGAGTACCTTCCTTTACGAAAACTGAGGCCGTTGCTACATGCTTTAATGATCTGATTCAGTTTTTGAGCACCCTTTGAAATCTCTTTGATATGAACATGAATCATGGGGCTGCTTGAAGAAGGTTGTTGTTGTTGCACCACAAATTGACTGCTTCTTCTTTCTCCCAAAGATCTCTTTCCTACATCATGAAGGAATCTAATGATTGATGCATTCCCTGAAGGATCTGATCTTGTAGCTTTTCCAGCATTTTCAAGTGCAAATGCTAACGCTTTCGACAAGTTGAGTTTCTCCATGCTCTGGCCTTTTCCATAAGGAACTATCTGATTTGAAAACTCTATGCCACCGCTAGTGAGATCTTGAAATGTTGTCTGCAACAGAACATGCATTTGATTTTAATAACATAATGGTTACACTTATTTGATTTTGAAAGTTAGAAATATGCTTCACAGCTTACAGATTTTGCTCTGGATCCATTAAATCCTCTGTTCGAATATGCATATTTATCTGCAACCAAAAATTTCCAAAAGTGACATTAGAGAGACTTTTTTCTATGTATCTAGTTTCAATAGAAAAGCTTGGTCCCTTAAAACCTTTGTTGGAATATAGACAGGAAGGGACTAAATTAAACCGATGTGGTCCCTGACCCGAGGAGATTATCGGCCTAAGCCTGGAACTTCTTAGTTAATACATAAAAAGGTTCTATATTTAGTAGTTTGTAATCTTTTGATGCCTTAATAAATTGGCTGGGAGCATTTTAGCTTTTGTTGGCTACTACTACTAGATCTAACAGAGAAAACGCTGTGCGATATCGAAAAAGGTTTCACAATCTAGCTACTAGCTAGCTACGTGCTCTCTCTTTCCAGGTTCATTGTTAGTTCATTCTTACCTTTTTGTAGGGAATTCTGAGAGCCTGAAAGCTGTTCTTTCCTCACCCGAAGATCATCCAACAACTTCTGCGCAAAATCTGACCTTTTCATCATTCTCTTCTCGCCATTCAAACTCATTCTCTCTTATTTTCACTCTTGAGTCCAGAAATTTGAAGAAACAAGAGAAGTCTCTGCACATTTTCTTTAGGGACGTTATTTCAATACTTTTTTTGATTTTTGTTTGTTGGTTTGAGTTGTTTTCTTGACTTAATCTTTGGTTAAAATGGTTCTTTCAGTGTTTGGTGAGAAAATTCTAGTAGTGATAGCAAAAATCTAATTGATAACAATGGAAGACTCTAAAAAAATTTTCATGTGTGTGTTTGGATGATTGACGTGAACGTTAGGCCCTTCTGAGTAATTTTTCGTTTCTTGACTTCGATTGCAAGTTAAGCAATGACGAAGGGTTTTCTTTGGACTTAACTTTCAAGCCTCTTCTCACTCTCTCTTGCGTCTGGTAGCCTTTGAATTTATTATATGAATACAATATTTTATGCGTACACAATATTGAAAAATTTCAAATGAATTGTGCATGTTTGTCCGACCCAAAGTACTATAGAGCATCCATAAAAATCACCTTTGATTTTTAAAAAAAAAAACATTATTAAAGAATAATTTTTTTGTTAAAATTTACTTTCATGCAAAATATGAATGTAAAATTATTTGCTTATATAAACACTATCAGATTGCTTATTTTTTTTTCTTTGATATCAAGAATTAAATACAATAATGAAATATAATATAGATAATAGTAAATTAGTTTTCTTACAAAACCAGGTGAGTCTCATAAATAAAAACTTTTGAATTGTTCATATTCATACATGTATCCATGATATCTACCCGGCACTGTCCTTATCCTAACGATCAAGGGGATTCAAACATATAAAACAAATCAAGTCGATTATCTTCTAGGTATTAAATATATATATCCTATACTATTATTTGGGGAGTACAATTTATAATTACCTTTAATAACCTTCCACTTTGTAAGTTATTACATTAGAATGCCACTAGAGATAAAAATATAAAGAGTAAATTAATTTAGCTCATTAAGGATAAACAAGTCAAATACTAATTTATGAAATTTAATTAATTTAATTATTAAAAACGAAAATATATTATTAACTTAAAAAAAAGAATGACCAATCAAAATGAACATATAAGATTTGATATCTAACTTACTATATTAATTTGTTATTAATCATTATACTTCACCTCTCATCTTTATATGATTCTATTTTTATGAAACAAATAAATCATCATATCATCCATATAACAAAAAAAAGTAAATTTTTTCTGCATATGCCAAGATTTGAATTTTTAAAAACGAATATCAATTGTTCAATCTATGAAGAAAAAAATTTAATGGGTCAAAAATTCACATTTGAGTAATATATTTCTTTTAACCAAAAATAAGTTCAACAAAAATTTCGACTGAGTAACGGGTCAGAATTTGAATATTTATATTCAATTTCATACCTTTATTTTTTGAAATGTATTATTTTATATATTACAATAAGATTTAAAATATATTAATTTGCAACATATAAAATTAGTTTTACTTGATATTTTTCAAGAATATCATCAATATTTAAAGAATATCATCAATAAATACTCTAATTTGATTTTATAAAAACAAATATTTCTAATAGGCAGTGGGTTAAATATAATATATTATATTAACAAATAAGTTATGATCCTTATAACTGTTTGTATATTTCTATTTAATTTCAAATAATTCTTTTTTGAAATTCATAATTTTATATACTACAAGAAATGTTTTTAAAGATTTTAATTTGGAACATTTAAAAATAGTTTAATTTAATATTTTAATGAATATCATAAATATCTAATAGATTAAAAAGATTAAAAAAAATTATAAATACTTTAATTTGATTTTCTAAAAAGATATATTTAAAATAGTTATAGTAGACGGATGGTTAAATGTAATATATTATATGATATAAAATTATGATCCTTATGATAGACGGCATGTTAAGATTATATGATAAGATAGATTAAATAAGGTTGACACAAAAAAATATTTGAAAATTTGATTTTGCAAGCAATTTTGGAAATAACGAATAATAGATTGTGCACGCAACATTTTCATTAGGATTCTAAAATAAAAATATAGACTCCACGCACGGGTTGAATTTGGTATATTATATACTAAATATATGTTCATAACATATTCGATTACGCAAATAATTAGTAAATTCGGTAGTTACCTCAAACAAATCTCTATTTCAACAACCAAAGAATTAGAAATTGAAAAAATAATTTCCTGAATTAATTCCAAATAATAGCTAACTTTCTTAATTAATTAAAAATAATCTACGTTTTAGAAGCGATTCATTTATAATATTTTGATTTTTGATCTAACTGAATTATATGCAACCTCATTTTGTGGTTGTTAATATAAATTAACTCATTGTTCAGACCATATTAATTTATTCAAAAAAATTTTATTTTCCGTTTTCATATCTTAAAAAAAATATATCCATAACTGAGTATAATTAAAAAAAGAAAATATATTCATTCTAATATTATATATAGGGACTGACAAAAATCTAATTATATGTTTTCAATTACTATTATAATATATCACAACTTTATTCTAAAATATATAATATATATATATTTTGTAATAAATAAAATTTAACCCGTACTGTAGTACGGGTGATGATCTAGTTGGAGACTATTTTTGCTTACATATCGTTAACAGAGAATTTCTTTTTGATTACAATAAAATATTTCTTCAAAATAAAATTATACTTTCAATTGGTAGCATAAAATTTATTTTAATTGGTAGCATTGATATATCTTAAAGGAATATTAAACAATAAATTTCCACAATAAATGTAAATTTTATATATAAATATATAATATTATTAAATATTACGTAAATCTCATTAAATATCTTCCATTTGTTACATCGATTAATATATATATATATATATATATATATATATAACGTTAATAAAGTTTTATATGTTTTTTTTATTTTGTTGGAATGTCAAATTTGTTGATTTTGGGAAAAGAATGTTTATGTACATAAATATAAAAGATTATAGGAAAGAAAAATAAGCTGAATCAGACACATAAAAGAATATATCAGACACCCTGTACTTGAAATCATCCTTAAAAAAAATGCCTACATGGGGGATTGCTTGATATCGAAGTGGGAGACCATTCTATTTGTAAACCTTCTTAACTAGTTTTTTTTTTACTATTGATATCATAAAAATATATTTTTCAAAATATCGCAAAACGACAGTAAAAAATCGAATTTAGATATAACTTTGTCGAGAATGAAAAAATAAGTTTGTACGAACACTTCACTTAATGAATCTTTGATCAAACTATATACATTTTGCCTCTTTATCTTCTTCATCGGCTTTGAACCACGATGAAGAAATTTCGTTCCTCAACGAACGAACTACGCTTCCAATAATTTCCCATGTCTTGGTGAACGGCTCCATATTGCGACTAATGACAACCCGATATTTATGGAAATGGTTTGAAGTAGTTTCCATAAAATCAACAAATTAATAACTAGCCAATATTTATGGAAATCTTTTAAAGTAGTTTCCATAAAAATCTAACTATCAATTTTAAAATTGTATATATGTAAAATTATTTAATTTCGTTATATATTTTGAGATATTTCTGGAAACAAAAAAAAATCAATTTAATATCATTATATATTTTAGATTTTAATCTATTTCCTTAAAAAAATATACTAAGAAATTCTGATTAGTATAGATGGAAGGAATAAAATTTGAAATTGTCTATATGTTAACTTATTTAATTTGGCAAGGTAATGTTAGATATTTCCGAAAACCACAGTCCAATTTAATAGTATAGATAATAATGTCAAAAAATCAATAAATATATATTAGGCTAATAATTGTTTATTAGTAGCCCATAAAATGTTGCCCACTACATAAAAAAAAAAACATAGTGTGAGACCATATAATAATATAATCAGTTTAAAGATTAATTTAGAAATTTATTATTACAACAATTATGAAAAATTTCATGTGTTTTCCCATGGTTAACACATAATTCTCTTAAAACATTTACACACAATTCTTTACTAACCATAATTTTGTCCATTTAAATCAAACTATCAATAAAACACATAAAGTAAATTTTTTTCGGTAACACTACTTTACATCAATCAAAACTTCACATTTCATAAAATTTTTATTATTATTCAATTTAAAACTTTTAAGATTTGCAGTTTTATAAAATTTACTCAGCACGAACGTGCGGGTCTTGATCTAGTATATCATGAATCCCATAACTTATATGTCTATATCATAAAAGCCCAAGGCTACATCACTAAAAGTGTAATTGATTGAGATCGATAGAGATTGGTTTATTATCTCTCTACAAAGATTCCGTTTACGTTTGTCGACTGATAAGACTGTTTTTTAGGCTTTCGGTGAAATCGAGATAATCTAGAATCTTCACTACAACACACGTTTCCGGGAAGTCAATCGCAATAAAAAACATATGTGCGAACTCCATATATGAGGCACTAAAGGACTTAAGCGTTTCTTATCCGCAAATACAATGTATGCATTTGCAATGGTTCCTAATTAACGTATCATTGACAATGTATCTAGTGAAATACAAGTTGATTTCCAATACCAATATAGCTAAATCAGTCTCCAAGTACAATTTTGTCTGAACTAAAATGACTAAGTGGTGTAAGATTTTTTACGTCAACTTCGACATCCTGATCCAAAATTTATGCTTCAATTGGAGTATAGTTTATCATCAGTTCATAACTTTTTGGTGGTATAAAATCACCATCCTATGATAAAAATAGATATTGCCATCCAAATCAGTCCCGAATACTCATCATCAAGCTACTTTATGTTAATATTTTCATTTTTGTTCTGCAATTTATACTCCAAAACCATTATCATCGTTCAATTTATCTAAATCACAAATCTCATCTCTCACGATATCTGTTTGAAAGGAAAACAAAGAATGCAACCAAATAAAACGAAAATGTTTACAAAAACAAAAGTTGTCGTCACAAAATTCTTTAGAAAGCATGTTTGTTATAACAATAAACTTTTATGTACACTTTTACCCTTTATCAAAAAATAAAAATTTTTATGTACTCTTTGACCAATTTTAAAAGTATATACGACTTCAATTCTCTCTTTATCCATGTATGCTTCAAATATCAATTCTTAGAACATCTCTAATTCAATATTAATATTTTTGGTTTAATTTTATTTGAGAACCTTACCTAAAATTTCTAGGTCTATCGGTAAAATAACTGTTGAGTATCGCATCAATATATTATTAATATCTTCGATTCTTTTAGTTTAAAATTTTTACGTTCAATTTTTTTTTTTTATACTTTTATAAACATATCAAAATACTACTTATTTTTTTCTATGAAAATATAATTAAAATATTTAAAATTAGAAGATTATATTAAATTTTAGGGGTTTTTTTTGTAAGTGGTGACTTAAAGAATTATGAAAATATTTAATTTTAGTTTAAAATTTTTATGTTCAATTTTAATTTATTTATATTTTTAACATATCAAAATACTACTTATTTGTTGTATGAAAATATAATTAAAATATTTAAAATTAAAAGATTGGTTCATGGATTTATAAGGATTTGGAAATCCAAACAAAAGTTATTTATTATTCAATCATTGAATTTAAAATCTTAATTAAAATCATGTGTTATTGGTTCTATGATTTATAAATACTAGTTAAAATCCTCTGTTATTCGTTTAATCATTTGTTTTTGGATTTCAAAATCCAAATTATGTTTTAAATGGATTTCAATGGATTTGAAAGATAAAAATAGAAGGATTCAAATTCATGGGCAAACAACACATGTTACTTCAAAATTTATGTCTTGATTTCATAATTAATAAAAAATTTCAAATCTTATATGGATTTACAAATCAATAAACCAATAAGACCCCCTTAGGTTTTTGTTTTTTCCATTAATATAAGTGGTGACCTAAAGAGTTATGATTAAATCCGTGATATGATTTCAATAGGAGAATGATTTAGAAGAAAGTGATACGATTTCAGTAGGAGTTAAACAACAAATAAAAAGATCAAACATAAAACTAAATTAAATGTCATTTCCCATTCCTAAAATTCCAAGGATTTTTGCACCTAAAGTAATGGAAATAAACCCTTCCAAAATATTGTTAACAAAATATCAGATTTAGCAGTGAAGAGCACAATTAGCCTAGAGTTAGCATCTTACATACAAAAGACAAAAGGGCAATAAACTTCTAACTCAGGTCATATCCAAATTCCTGACATGATCAGCTCATATCTTTTGAGCTTTCTCCAGAACTTCCAACTCTTGTAATGTAAACCTGGCAGAACAACAACATTAATCATCAGTTTCATCATTTCTTGCAAGTTTGTTAGGTAACTAAACGGGTTTACTAACCTTGAAAGCGGTACGACGAACTAACTCGAAAACAAGAGTATCCCCATATGATAGATTGTGAGCAATAGCAAACCCCATCCATCCACCACTAAGTCCATTCTTTCTCGCTAAGTAGATAGTCTCATACTCCTCGCCTTCTTCATCTATCAAAGTTATGACACCATCTTGTTTCCCGAGGTGAGATCTACAGAATTGAACTGGAAGTCCCTGATTGCAACCAAAATAATGGCTTTGTTTTGGTTAGATAATAACATTCATTAACCAGAGACACGCTCAAACCAAGACCTTAGACAAACCCAGAATGGCCTTAATAAGGTTCGATTGTTGTTCTTGAGCTGGAAAAGCTACAATTCCCTGCACCATCCCTGGGCTATTACAATAGTCCTTCTCTAGACATAACATCTTAAAGGTCCTGAGTTAGAAAGACTGACTGGTTCTTAAAAGTTTTGTAGTTAACATGGTTTGACATTATTATTTATTAACACAAACTCATCGGATTAAAAGCGATACTTTTCAAAGTAATACGCAATGCAAAGAATGGTGATAGAGTCTACGCAAACAGACCAGACATTAAGTAAATTATATAAACAGCTAGACTTAAGATGAACAGCTTATCATAGTTAGAAATACTGTCTGGTTCTTGACAGTTTTGTTTTTTACATGATTTTACCTCAAACTTTTTGGTTAGGCAATGCCATTCACATGTACAAAACATCAGATAATTTAAAGAAGATTCAATTCTAAAACCATAGAAGAGACTTGATTAACCAGAGAAACGCAGTAACGCACAAAACCAAGACCTTAGAACCATAACTCTTCGATTAACTTTCAGCCTCAAATAAGTAATGTAAGATTTGTTGTCGAGCTGGAAAAACTACAATTCCCTGGACATGAACAGCTTCTTAGAGGTCCTAAGTTAGAAAGACTTTCTAATTCTTGAAGGTCTTATTTGTAGTTTACATGTTTAGACATTTCTATCTCAAACTTTTTGGATTCAAAGCGATAGTTTCCAAGTAACCCGAAGCAATACTAAGACCGGCGATGGACTTTAAGCAAACAGAACAGAAATCAAGAAATGTAAGCTAAAGATTGTGTGTATAAGAAAGTTAATTACCAGCCAGAAGCCACCAGAAACATGTGATTGAAGCATAGACTTCACAAAACTTGGGTAACCACTCTCCAATTCATCCTGGACTTTCTCAGCTCTTGAAATGGTCTCTTCTCTGATTTCTTCAGAAACATAAACTCGATTCGACAAATCTCTCCTTTTACTCAACCCCCTAAACAAAACCATAACAAGACAAAAAAACTAGTCTAATTTCAAAGATTCATGGCACAAACAAAAAAAAGATGAGATCTTTATGCAATTTCACCTTCTCTGTATCTGAATTCGTTGAACATCAACCTATAAAAAACAACAAAAAAAACCCAAATTTCATAAGCCAAGCTAAAACCCTAGAAATGATGAAAAAGAAAACAGATTTTTGCGAATTTTCAAGAATCAAGAGATGAAAAAGAGAGGACTTGCTTCTCTGTAAACAGGAATCGAAGAAGAATTAGAGATACGGCTAGATCTACGAACAATCACCATCTGTTTCTCTGGTGTTCGAGGAATAGATCTCTTCTTCATCTATCAATTGTTTTACAAAAAAATTATTCAATCGATCATTGTATGAATTATGTAAAAGAGAAGAGAGAAATGATCAAAACCGGAGAATTTTTGACGGAAGTGGAATTGAGATTTTGAGAGAGTTTTGGAAGATTGAGAGCTTCCATTCGTTTCTTGTTCTCTTCCACTCTTTTCAGACGAAATTCTTCGTAGTTTGATTGTTTCGCGACCACCATTTTTGGGGATTTCTCAGAGAAGCCAAACTCTGATTTATTTTTATTTTTTTCTCTTCTCTGAGTGATGCAAAAACCCTAGCTGACCGTTCGTAGCTCAAGTATTTGAATTGTGACACCGAGTTTCAAAAAAAAAAAAAAAAAAGTCAAAAGTCAAAGAAGAGTTATTGCACAATTGTAAATAAATCGTTTGGGCCTTAATTGGGCCTATGGGCTGAAGATTCAATTTCAGGTCTTATCACATTGACATATTGGTTGATGCGTTGAATCTGTGAAGCTAATCAGTGGATGTGTAATGTGTGGAGATATGGATACTGCAGTGAAGCTGTTCGATGAAATGCCTGAGAGAAGGGTTGCTTCATGGACAGTGATGGTGAATGGTTTTTTTTATGTCAGCTAAGGTTGATCAAGCAGAGAGATTGTTTTAGAAATGCCTGTGAGCGATACTGCAGCGTCGCGATGGTTCATGGTTCATAGGCATTTACGGTTTTATAAAGTAGATGATGCCTTGAAGTTGTTTAGACATTGATCTATGGATTAGACCAGAAAGAGAGAAACTGGAGAAGCTCTTGTTTTCTTTTAAGAACATGTTGTTGGGTTGTTGCATAGAGTCGACTTCATGAACATTCACTTGTGTGTGAAAAATAGTTGCGGGAATGCTCCAGTGTTTCATATGGGTGTACAAGTTCATGGCTTCGTCATCAAGGCGGGGTTTTAACATGAGGAATATGCATCTGCTTTGGTGATAATGGAGGATTCGGGTAAGGTGTTTGATGAGAAGGCTCATGAGAATGGTTCTTTGTGGATTGCTCTATTGATAAGGTATATTCTGAAGAAAAAGCATGAAGATGTTAAGAAACAGTATCTTACCGAATTAATCAACATTTGCTAGCAGAATAAACTCTCTCTTTACTTTGAGAATATTGGATTGGGCCGTTAGGATGGAGTGATTTTGTGATGCAACTGAATATTTCTCTTCTCTTTTACATATATTGTTCTTGACATGATTAGGCTCGTTCTTTTGCATTTAAATATGCACTTTCTTTACACATTTGCACGAGACATTTCGTGAAACTTGTGTTGCTTAAGAGAAGTAAAATTATAGTACCGACTACCGAAAGCCAAAGGTTTTGATGTGATTTGTACTCATGAAGTTTTTAGTGGTTAGAATAATAGAATCTCAATAGTGGTTTTCTTAGAGAAGAAGAGCTACATTGAGAATATGTGTTCAGAAGTTTCAAGACTATATTGATAAGCAATTATCTCTTTTGAACTTAGCTAACTTAGCTTGCAAAAATATTAAATTCAAATTGCCTCATGAACACTAAATCTACTTTGCATTAATAGTTTTGTCGTTGTTATCAGTGCTTGGTCAAGCAAGATCTTGTCATCCATAACACACACCGATCCATGTTTCTAACATAAATATTACTATTGTCTATAACATAGATTCATATGACATTTATAATTGTTCTAACGAGACACAACACAATCGAAAAGAGACAGAGAAGAAACTAAAAAAAAATAAAGAGAGAGACAGAGAAGACAAAAAGGTTTCTAAATCCACCGCACCACGTTCACTCATCATGGTGAAACACATGCCCACATTATTTCTGTACGGATCTATCTCTTTCCCATAATATACTTCTTTTTGTAATGCATGTGATGTACTAATATAGTAATTAGATTACCAATATCTCAGTTCATAAATTATATATACAATTCTAATAGAGAAAATGTAGCATTTAGTGGAAGATGCTTTTAATTCTTTAGGCCAAAAGGAAACTGGCCGATTAGGTAGAAATCTAGCAGGTATAAGGTATCCATCATCATTAAGCAAAAGCTTATTATTTAACTATTGTTAGGGTATGAACATAATTTTGAAATAGAGACAAATCAACAGAAGCTATGTAATAATATGATTTGCCAGCTGGGCTTGCGAATAATCCCAAAATAGTGTAAACTAGAATTTGAATTTTCGGACTCATTTAATATATGTTGGAGTGACTACTTCCATAAACAAATTTACTATAACAAGAAAACAATTAAAACTAGATAAAAACATGTGTTATGTACGAGTAATTTTTATGTTATTTAATTTTATAAACAGTTTAATTTTATAACAAATTATATATATTTTATTACTTTATTAAAAATTTCTAATACATTTAAAAAATATATAGTGTTTGTGTTTGATTTTATAAACATGTTTTAAACGCAATTCGAGAATCAATCTGGGAAATATATATGGGTTTTGTGCATGTAGGAAATTCAAACTTTATGTTAGTTCATGTGGGTTTAGGCATGAAATAAAATTACAGGGATGAATTAGCCAAAACAACTTAGTTTATGGGAGAATAGGCCGTTTTCCCCTCAAAACACAGTCGCTTAGATCGATGATGTGGCATCCTAGTCAGATGTTCGTTAACGGAACTTTAACGGCGTTTAACGATTTGTGGGTTTGGTCCGGATTTGTTTTGTTCAGGGAGGAAATTCAAACTCCATGTTAGTTCATGTGGGTTTAGGCACGAGACAAAGTTTTAGGGATGAATTAGCCAAAGCAACTTAGTTTGGGGAGGAATAGGCCCATTGACGTTCACATGAGTGATGCGTGTCGTTCATGAAATTTTTAGAGCATATTTGATTTGAACCACTCTTCTTATTTTTTAAATTTTTTTTTCTCAAATAATATTGAAATAGATTTGGAAAGGTTTACAATACACAAATAAAACAAGATTAAACAAAAAAAAAAAACACACAATGCTCTCGACCCATACTAATCTACAAATTAAAAAGGGAGTTTTCGATAATACATGGCAAAAACCAAACAAATTTTATCTTTTGAAGCTTTTAAAGTTCACCACAAGGCCTTCCTACAACAAACCATGAAAACAGACTTCAATACTTATGGTAATAACAAGAGAATGGAACTTGGCTTTCGCCGTATATGGTATATTTTATTTTATTAATATCTTGTCACAGATCTCTCAGATGAGCTATAAGATAAACGATAACTGCTAAAACTTTTTAACGCCACAAGAAACGAGTAATAAAGTCAACTAAAACCTAATACACGAAAATATAACTCTAGACTGAAATAAGAGTTCAAACCCAAACTAACATCGAGTAAATTAGTGGAAGAGGAGAAAATTAATCCAAACAAAAACAATGTTAGCCAAAACGAAGGAAACATACAATCCCAACACCATAAATGCTAAATATTCATAAGACATTTGCAATCCATGAAACCTAACAAACACCAAAATAAAACTACAACCGGACAATCAATTTTCCAAAAAATGTAAATTTCTAACTATTTTTATTTGGATAGTCGAAATATTATTATATTTTATATCTATTAAAAATGAAATGAATCGGTTAATGGATTATAACTATATTTATTCTAGCGAAATTAGTTAGATGATAAAATTTTGGATCATTTTTTTATTATTAAAAAGAAATTCTAGAATATCGTAGAGATCTACCTATTTAATGTTCCATAATTAGATCTTCTAGCGGCGGTTCCTGTTATGCTTCCTCTATGTTTTTTGTGCATCCCTTTTGTTCTCCACGTCACACATGTGTTTATATTGTGTCAAGTCGTGTTCTTACCATTGTTGTGTTCATCTTAATACCTCAAACACCTTACTCTCCCTTTTGTCGGTCCATCCTAAACCAGTGTCGAATTTACTGTACCAAGAGATTGATTAAGGTAAACTATTCATCCACATAGTCTTTTCTTTAATCATTATCTATGACCAGTAATAATCATATTTCATTAACCTCCAAAAATCTCATACTCGCTTTAACAAAACTGTGATTATCAAATGATAAATGTAATACTATACTACTCCGTTTTTAACAATTCTAAAAAGCAATGATAACGTGGGTTAGAACCTAATTACCAATTATAATTGTCTTTTTTTTTCTCTAACCGTTCTCTTTAACAAACAAAAAATCTCATAATCATCTTGACAGAAACTGTGATTACCTACCGACAAACCATAATTATTTTCTTGGTATTGCAATTTGCAAATACTTATTATTTTATTAACCCGAAAAAAATACTTCTTCCATTTCACAAAAAATATTATACTTATTAAAGAAATATCTTTAAACAAAATCACAATTTTAATTTTATTATTTTAGTTTACTAATTAGAAACACTACAGGGTATCGATGTTTCATTGACGGCTCTTGGAAAGAGAGTGACAACTACTCGGGTTTAGGATGGTTCTGTACACTACAAGGTGAGGATGAACCAACCATGGGCGCTGCTAACCTTCGAAGAAGTCTCACATGTCTACACACAAAAGTGGAAGCATTAGTTTGGGCCATGAGATGTATGATTGGCCAAGACAAACGCGAAGTAAGTTTCTATACAGACTGCTCAGACCTGGTGAAGATGGTGTCTTCCCCGACGGAGTGGCCAGCTTTTTCTACCTATCTAGAGGCCATTCAGAGCGACAAGGATGAGTTTGATTTTTTCTCTTTATCTTTGATTTCTCGACGTGCAAATTCAAAAGCGGATAACTTGGCACGAAATGTTCGTACCCAACCGCATCTAATTACCTATGTAAACAATATCCCCCAGAATTGGCTTGTATAAGCTAATCTAATAAAGTTGTTGACAAAAAAAAAAAAAAGTTTACTAATTAGAAAAATAAATTTGTGTAGTGTATTGATAAAAGACATAATAAACTTTTATATATTTTAATATATATGAAAATTGTAAAACAATTTTTTTTGTGTGTACAGTTTCATTATACAGTATATTAAAAACTTAAAAATGTTACTTGACGAAACAAAAAAAAAACATTTTAAAGATGTAGGACAAAACAAAAAAAAAACAATTTAAAAATAAAAAATGAAGACGACCGACCGTTTCACCGCTCCTTTTGATATCCCTCACTTATTTTTATTTTTTTTCTCTAATGAATACATAAAACAAATCAGAAAAAAAAAAAAAAAAAAAACTCACAGAAGCTGAAGACGAAACATCACCAAATCTTCTCCTTCTGCAACTGTCTCCATCTAAAAACATACAAAATTATACACTTCTCTCTTACATTATAGATTACAAACCCATTTTTATATTCCAGCTGTACCTTTTTTGAAAAATCTTCAAATTCAGAATGAATTGATCATACTAGCTTTTCTGATCCAAATCAGGTTTTTCTTGTGAATTTTCGCTTTTATAACTTCGTCATAAGTAATTTGAATTGTGGTGGTTCTTGATGTTTTTTTCTTCTCTGTGATTATTTATTTGGATTTTGATTCTATAGGTTTTGATACGGAGACAAAGATGATGATGAGTAGCAGCAGCAGTAGTAGTTGTAGTAGTAGTAGTTATACAAGAGGCGTAAAAACTCCGTCATCTGCAATTACGAAAATTGTGAGTGAGGAATCTTAATCCTTTTGATCCATTTTTTGTTGATGATCTTTGCCTCTTGGTGTTCTTTAATTGTTAGATTATAACAAAATTGTGAAATCTAAATATTGTATTTTTGCTATGATCTTGAAAGCGAATCTGCGAAAAATGATCTGTGATTGATACAGGGGAAGAATGTGAAAGGTGGTGAAAATGGTGTTGTAAACCGAAAGGCGTTAAATCGAGAGAAGATAATTGCTCTGCAACAAGATGTAACCGCTTTTTCGAGTTTTTGTTTTTAGTTATGATCAATATACAGTTCACAGATTTTTTTGAAGAGTGAATGATGTGATTTGGTTTTAAAAGGTTGAAAAGCTGAGGAAGAAGCTTAGACTTGAAGAGAACATTCGCCGAGCAATGGAAAGAGCATTTAATAGACCTCTCGGAGCACTTCCCCGCCTTCCTCCGTTTCTCCCTCCATCGGTTATTTACTTAAAAAATAGCTCGGTGATTTTCTTTCCCGCTAAATCTTGTTTAAAATTGGATTGATTTTCGGTTGTTCTTGTAGATTTTGGAGTTACTTGCGGAAGTGGCTGTTATGGAGGAAGAAATGGTTCGGTTAGAAGAATATATTGTCCATTGTAGACAAGAATTGTATCAAGAAACAGCTTTTACATCTTCATCGATAGCGAACTTAAAATGCTCGGTTGATGTGCCTAAGCATGTGCAGAGCAGATACAAGCCAGCTTCTAGTAATGTTAGAGAATCTGAATCACCTCGTTGGCGGGAACCGTGTTCTGTTTCAGGTGAGCTTATAGGGTTCTTATTCAGGTTTCTTGATGTGATTTAGACTATTATATGATGCTAGTGTTCCCATTATAGAGAGTCGGAGGGGTAAAGAGAACAAGTTGAGTGCTACTTCTATCAAAACACCGATAAAGAAAATGACTATTTTGGCTCATACACAACTGAATAAGAGTTTAGAAGCTCAGAAACTTGAGGTACATACTTAATAATATTTTTATCTTTTTATTTGGTTTTCTTGAATTGCAGATTTAATCTTAAGTTCACTCACATAATAACAGCAGGAAAGTCATAGATGTCGCAAAACAAATGCAGAGCGGAGCTCTCATGGTGGCAGTGATGACCCAAATAAAATTTCCGAGGATTTAGTTAAATGTTTGTCTAACATTTTCATGAGAATGAGCTCAATAAAAAGATCCGCGGTTACGAAATCTCAAGAAAACGATAAAGATACGGCATTCAGGGATCCTTATGGAATTTGCTCCAGCTTTAGTAGAAGAGATATTGGTCCATATAAGAATTTCAGTGATATTGAAGCAGCTTCAGTAAACCAAAATAAAACGTCTAGTTCCTCTTCGTTTCTCATCCGTCAACTGAAGTAAGCGCGCTTTGAAAAATCCTACTTCTACAATGAAAGTTTCTTTTCTTGATTTGTGTATTCACTAATTCCTTTTTTTTTTTTGAAATTTTCAGACGTCTGCTTGGAAAACTTTCTTCAGTTAACTTGCAGAAACTTAATCAACAAGAGAAGTTAGCTTTCTGGATAAACATTTATAACAGCTGCATGATGAATGTAAGCACTAAGCAATATCTATGTAGAGATATGTTCCTGTCTTTGAGGTTTATTAACTTGTGTTACATTGAAAACATTAGTGTTTCCTTGAACATGGAATACCGGAGAGCCCTGATATGGTGACACTAATGCAAAAGGTAAATAGAAGATTAAAATTTTCTGCATGTAAAACTTAAAAGATAACAAAAAAAAATTATTCAGTGTTTCCAACTAAGATGGTCCCTTGTGCTTGCAGGCGACTATAAATGTGGGAGGCCACTTTCTCAATGCAAGCACAATCGAACACTTCATCCTCCGCTTACCGTATCACTCAAAATATGTAAGCTCTTCGTTCGCTGGTCCCTTTCCTTTCTCTAGAGTTGTCATGATCATCTATCAATGATCTTTTACTTTACATTTCTCGCTTGATTTATCAGATTTCTCCAAAGGGATCAAAGAAAAATGAAATGGCAGTGAGAAGTAAATTTGGATTGGAATTGTCAGAGCCACTTGTAACATTTGCTCTCTCTTGTGGTACCTGGTCCTCACCCGCGGTAAGTACATGTTTATATCATATTAATATACTTTGTTCTTGATTGTTTGATTGCATTTGTGTTTGAAGTTGGTGTGTTCTTTTTCCCCAAATGAACCCACAACAACTCTTGGTATTTTTTAAAAAATTCATTTGATAATTGGAGAAGAGATGAAATATTGTTCATATGTAAACGCAAACTTACTCGTAGAAACTGAGGTCTTATTCTCTCTAGTGAATAGTCCTGGTTCTAAAACTAAATGATGTGTTGAAACGTTATGAAGGTAAGGGTGTACACTGCGAGTAAAGTAGAGGAGGAGTTGGAGGTGGCAAAAAGAGAGTACCTAGAAGCATCCGTGGGGATATCGGTGGCGAAAATGGGGATACCGAAACTAATGGATTGGTATAGTCATGACTTTGCAAAGGACATTGAATCATTACTTGATTGGATTTGCCTTCAGTTGCCTACTGAGTTGGGGAAAGATGCTCTCAACTGTGTTCAACAAGGGATGTCTCAGCCCCCTTCTTCTACTCTTGTCCATATTATCCCTTATGACTTCACTTTTAGATACCTTTTTTCCATCTGAAAATGTTTTTTTTCCTTAGGGGTTTCTCTTCTCTCTTTCCTTAGGGGTTTCTTTTCTCTCTTTTAGTAGTCTTTGTTTTTTTTTCTGAGGTTTCAATAAGTTTTGTTTACACTTTACAGCAATATAAAAAAGTACATAAATAAGGAGCTATTGAAATTATCATATTGTGTTCAGTTTAGTGTGGTGGTTGTATAAATAACCTGAATTCAAGAAGCTAAAATTAGTATGAATCTCGTTGTAGGTTTATTTGTTACGTCCGCACAGATAAGAGATTATTTACTGAGCTTCATAAATATGAATCTATAAGACTCTTAATTAGTTGACGGTACAATTGAACATTCACTTTTTTTCTTTGTTATAATAACATGCGGATTTGAAATCAAGTAGTAACATCGACAACACTATTTATAAACCACTAAGCTACAAATCATCATTCACATGTCATTTTTCTATATAGTTCATTCATTGTTATCTAGAGAAATGTTTTTTTTTTTCCTTCTAAAACTTTTTTGTGGCCTTGTCATAAGAGTGGTACCTATGAAAAGGATGAAGACCATAGCCATAGCCTTATGGCCCATAGGGAACCTCTCTTCAACTATTTATTTTTCCTTCATTAATAATGCTCAATGGAAATGTTCACCTTTTAGAATAATCATCAACTTATTTTTCATAGTTAATTATACTTCTAATGAAATTATCACCATTTAACTATATTTAAAAACAGAGAAAAAAAGAAAAGTGTAACAAACAGTTAATGAGACCTGAGAAAGTAGATACTAAGTTCTGTGCCCTGACCACTACCTTCAGGGTTAATCATATACAATGCTTCAGAATCCTTAGAACCAATCACTCTATCGAATCGAGCTCTCATGTAAGTCATTTCTCCTTCTGTCTCTTGATCATAATGGTTCTTACATGGTAAAACTCCAGCCCCCATTGAAACACCTCTCAATGCATCAATCACATACATCTCCTCCTCACTCATGTTTTTCCTCCGTATCGAATACCCGATTTTCCGCCCGTTACAGTAGATCCCCCACACATACTCCTCCAACACCTTCTTCCTTGATGTTTTGGTCTCGCTTTCTAAAGCAATCCTGACAGTCTCCGAGGCCATCTCCTTCTGTAGCGCCGAAGTAAGCATCGGGAGTTCGATGATGAACATTGGCAAGCAATGAGGATCTTCTTGTATTGCAAGAAAGACTCTTCCTTTGCGAAACCCGAATATCGTCCCCGTTGTTGCGTAGTCCTTAAGTAAGGGTCTTCGATGCCCTCGACTTAACAAGTTCACCATCTTGCAACCAGATGATAGCATTGGTATGAGCTTGAACATTTTGAGCACCCCGCCACCGATGCTTCCAGCAGATTTCTTCGAATGTTTAGATTCCATGGAGGTACCCGTGTGCCGCAAGAGCGAGAGCAAGGCCGAGCTATCCATATTGAAGAAGGGGCTAGATCGGATCGGCATAGTTTTTACTTGTTTTTCCTTCTACTCACCTATTCTTGTTGTTCTTATTGTGTGTTTTGTGGATGAATATAAGGTTTGACATATAAAGAGAAAACATATATTGATATATATATATAAAGATATATCATATATAGAAAGATATATGGAGGGGAGGTGGGGGTCTAGTACTAAGTTAGGAAGATGGTTTGTCATTTGGTTTGGGAATCTTTGAAGAAAAATAAAGAGGAACCAAATTGGTTTTTGGAGACATGTGTGAAGATAAAAAGTTAGAAACCACTATTCCACATTGCTTCTTTTTCTGGTTTATGATTTAGACAATCATGTATAACCAAGCCATACATTACATTTAGTTATAGAATGTGTGTACGTTTACATCAAAATTTTGATGTCATTAAAGTTATGAGGACGTTAAGAGCATAACTACTTGCTTTTCGAATTAACTCATCAAAATGATCCGGAATTTTTTTTTTGTAGTTTGCAAATGTTATATCATTTTATAAATTAGACTTTCAACTAATAACATATTTTAAATTTCGATATATAGAAATTTTTCATGCATTGTTACAAGCAAGGCGTCTGATATAGTATTCTTAGAACAACAATATTAGATCCCAACTCATATAAATGTTACAAGAATATTGTGATTTCATATTACTAATTTTTTTATAACTTGGCCAAGTTTTGTTTTAAGACATTCACTTGTAACTTAATTTATCAAAAATGAGAATTTACTGATTATTACTTTTTTATGAGCAAGTTTCCGCATAAGTGGTTTCAACTAATCATATATACCACCATTTCCAAGTTTAAAACTAATTTATATTTAATTCATATATATTTATTTAATGGTTTGTAATAGTGTTATCGGTACATTACTATCGAGATTCAAAGCTCCATAATGCATGTTGTTGATAGAAAAAATAAATACGCTGCATTTGTATTTTTCGTTTTCATGTGTGAAATCACTCTCAAGATAAAGATAATGATACACATTCAATGAAAAGAGGGTTATAACTTTTAACAAAAAGAGTGTAATAACTTAGCAAAGGAGGTCTACACAGGTCAAGCTAAAGAAAACGATGGTAACGAATGAAAGATGGATGTGACCATATGTTTATTATTTCCTCTTATTTTAAATTATAGAAATTCACACTTTTGTTAAAGATATTTGATAGTGGAAGAGAGGAGAGGAGACCACACACCCTAAACGTTCATGGGTGGGGGATGGGTCATCATTAAGAGAACCAAACCTACATGTGTATACTACTGTTATTTGAGAAATTTCATCGATAATTTTGTGAACAAGCAAGTTTTGACATAAAGCATGTTTCCAAAAAATTCTTTTTGTCATAAAAGTAAATTTCATAATTTAAAGAATCAATTACCAGATAACGATTTTTTAGTGGCATTTATAAATTTTGCCACTTTGCCTAAAATATTTTAGATTGTCATTTTCTTATAAAAAAAAATTTTAACACATTATGTTTGAGTTTATTTAGTTCCATTTTTATAGGGTATAATATTTTCTATTGAGTATATATTTTATAAAAAAAAATCTAAAATGTTTAGTTTTTTAAATGGAAAAAATGGTAAATCTGAAATATTTAGGCAAAGTAGAAGATACAAAAGATTTGGGTTACAAAATGGCAAAATCAACAAATAATCCTTAATTTAAAATGTTTAAACCTTCAATCCTGGTTATTCAAATGAAGAATAATTTAGTGGGATGGCAATTCTTTTCTAAAAATTAAATGCCTGATTGGTTGGGCTGTAATTGTAAAAATTTTGCTGCATGATTTTTGATGTAGCTGTGTCGGCTGTAGCTGTAACATTTGTTGCTGTAGAATTATTGTTCTAAGTGAACTGGTTGTAGTTGTAAGTTTCTAATTTTAGATATTTAAAACAACAATAACTATTTAGACGATTTTAAATCTCATTTATTTTTTATGAAGCAATTTTTAATATTTTTCAATGTATACATTTAGTTTATCAAAATAATATTTTCTTAATTATTCAATCTTTGTCAGTTCACTTTTGTAGGATGTGTGATTTTTCTCGCTCTGTTATTTATTTAAGTAGACTTCTAATTTATCTAATAGATTTTTATATCCATCATACATATATATGATATATTTTTATATCTCTATTATTACTTGGCGCAATAAATATTCATATATCAATTCATGGGAATACTAAATGATTTTTTTTTTTTAAAGATACGTTCACAAAATAGAGCGTTAAATTTATCCAAAGAGTAAAATCAGAAATAAGCAGATTTCATACTATTTTGATAACAATAAGTCAAACCATTACCATTTACGTAATTTCAATCTTTGCCATAGCAATATATCTAATGACTTCAAAATTTAAACACCATATATGTCATGTTCTAGATTTTGTTTTTAACTTAGTAATGTTTTTTAAAAACGCTATCTAGTTTTGATTCACAATAGCTTTTTTTTTTCTTTAATTTTGAACCAAAAAAATAATTCAAGCTTTTATCACCAGACTAATCCTCTTAGAATTTTTTTTGTCAACTAATATGTTAGTGAAGTAAAGTCCCACATCAAAAGTTGGAGAAGTTATCAAGTAATATATAAAAGGTTAGAGCCAATCAATTCATTGTCAACTTGTTTTGAGTTGAAAGTCCATGTTAAACCCAAATTTGTCTTAGTATTAGAGCCACCCGATTGTTGGGCCACATGAACATCTGAAACATGAGCATATATGGAAACAACATTCACGAAGTGACCCAACAATCGGGTGGTTCTGATATACTATGATAAATTTGGGTTTAACATGGGCTTCCAACTCAAAACCAATTGGCAATGAATAGATTGGCCATAACCCTTTATATATTACTTGATTACTTCTCTAACTTCCGATGTGGGACTATATTTCACTAACACGTTTCCTTACACTCAGGCATGAACATCTTAAACGTGGGACTTTACTTCACTAATATATTTATCGACAAAAAAACAATTCTTTCTCCTAGAATGAGTCTAGCCGTCGAGTGGTTTATTCATAAAATTTTCTAATATTCTTAAAACATGACATTATTTTGACTAGCGAATGATTTACAGTTTTTCTATGACCAGTGGCGGAGGTAGTGAAGAGGGAGGGGGTCAATTGACCCCATAACATTTATGATTTTTTTGTTTTTTTAAGGTAAATGACAATAATTTATGGATATTTTAGTTTAATTTTTCCATAATGACCCCCATGCCAACAATCAGTTCCTTAATTTGACCCCTCACATGTTTATTTTTTATTTAGCATTAATTCATTTTTCATTTTTTGTTTTATATTTTTTCTAATATATGGCTACAAATCTCTAAAATCATGGTACATATTAATTTTTTAGATATGTTCTATTTTTTTTCCTTAGTTTTTTTTTTTAAATTGTTCTTAGAAATATTTTATTTAGTTTAAAATAAATGATTTAATATTAATATATAATTAAATAAAAAATAATTAATTATATATGACCCCTATAAACTAAAATTCTAGCTCCGCCACTGTCTATGACCAATAAACTATTGTTGATATAGGTAAAAGCATGAAGCTACTCAAAAGAAAATCTTATTCAACTAATAAAACTACTTTCACTAAGTTTTACATCCATATATAAAGATAAGCCAAAGGCCCCATGTAAAAAAGAAAAAAGTTTAGGTTTGATTCACGAAAAAGAGCACCTTTAACAAAATTAAATTTTATTTTATTATTTGTTATGAGATGTTGAAAAACGAAGGCAAAATGAAAAAAGGAACGGTGGTTTGGCAAAAGGCATGTGCCAATGTCTCTACTAAACTTCAATAAAGTAATCACTAATGATTGTGTAGAGAGTCATCTTTACGAATTCTTTCTATCGTTCTTTCAATTTTATCCATAAGCTTTATTTGATAATAACGTCAAGTATGGGCACCAACTTATCAAAACTTACTCACCTTTTTCATTGGGGCCTCACTACCGACGAGGACGACCACAATTAGATAGTAGTTGCAAATGAGACACTTGTACTAATCCAAATCACTTCATTGCATATGTTTTCTTTTTGAAGTCTCCATAAAATTAGTTGTATCAAGAACTTGATAGTGTCTAAGATCATAAAACCAAAAACGAACGAAAAAAAACAAAAGAATTAGTAGATTTTCTAAATATTGTGATCAACATGTAAAAAAAACATTTAAGGATAAAAGTGTTAAGAAAAACTTAGAGAATCTATTGTGAAAAACATTCTATTGTGCTGAAACCATAAAACCACCAATTGAATCCACAAAATCAAATACCAAATTTTCAGCTTACGAACTTATCGCGAAAACTTGAAAATGAATGCCATCGAAAGAACAAATAACGGTGATTGATTCAAGTGTTTTACGAGTTAGAAACCATCGGTGTGAAGGAAACTATGTCTCGGCAGAAAAAAAAAAAGAAAATTAAAATTTCACTCTATCCCTCTTTTCACTTTTACCTTGTTTTTTTTCTTACAAGATCCAAAGCAATTATAACCGAGAGAGATAATAGCAGAAGTTGTATAAAGAAATTGAGCACGTTGAGTGATCTGGTTTAATGGGCCGATATGTATTATTGGGCCGAGATAAAGACATTGTAAACAAACATGTCTAAGAGGAAATTTCCAATTCTCAACATTATCATTGGTCTTTGATGAATGTAACAAATAGATCATTCTTGTTAGTTCCCAAATTTCATGCTATATAGTTTTGTCAATTCCCATACTGCAAAAAGTTGGCTCAGAGTTAAATGTGCCATTTCTATAGAGAAGAAAGTGCTATAAAAGTATCAACAAGCAAACCACAAAGGAAACCGAAAAACCTAAAAGAACAGACATTTCAAAATCAGAATTATGTTCAGTTTTCAATCTTCTCCACCTGAGGACTTTTGCTCATTTACATCTTAGCTCAATATATTCCACCCGAGGACTGCCAAAAAATATATCTTAGAAATCGTGTGGACGACGAATCCATCAGAAATAGTAAAAGGAATCATATATCTTACCTGTACGAAATTGCGATCCAGAGGTGATATGTTCAAAACCTGAACATGTTAGATAGCTTAAACGTGAACAAGTTTATCATGACACTATCTATTCATTACTTCTATTAACAGCAATCCTAAAGGCATTGTTTTGATCAAGTTCGAAGAAACGATACCTGTCAGATTCTTGAGGAGGATGGACGGTAAGGCTCGTATATCCAGGAAGATTTTTCTGAAGAATCAGGAGCTAGAATGCCTTTCATCCACTCGAAACGAACAATCAGCTCTTCCAAGTCCAAGACAGCAGCTTCAACAGACTCTGATTCCATGATGTTCAACCGAAGAGCTCCATCTTTTTTCAACTTCTCTGTGGGTCTCTGCTTTTCTTTCTCTCTAGGTTCAGCTCCACTCTGCTCTTCTTCTTCCATTGATTCGGCCTCACTCACTTGATCTATTGTAACAATACAAGGCAAACATTCATATACCACATAAACCAAACAATCAATAGAAACAGAAGGAGCAAACAGCTTAAACATTTGGGGAATATAGCATTGATGTAAAATAAAAAATCTAACCTTCATTCAAATGTTTCATTAGCTTAGCACATTGCCTCTTCTCCCCATCCTACAAGAAAGATGGATGGTAAAACAAGATAAGCAACAAAAAGAGTAAAGTTCAGAGTATATAAGGAATACTTAGCATCAACTAACATACCGTTTTGGATCGCTTACACTTATTTAATGTGTAACTCATATCTGATTAACAAGATTTTAGCCGTGCACAAAGAAACAACAAGACAAGTTTAGGGTCTTAATAAAAGGGAATCTGCCCTTGACTGAATAGGTTTTTGTTACAAGCCAAAAACTTCTGACTTCGATCTAGTAATCAGAGCCGTTGTTAACGTGAGAAAGAAAGATTTAAGCAAAGCTTCCTCTTAACTCAAGTCAATTAGGTTAATTGTTGGAAGTTGTTTTCTCATTAAGCAAAGAAGACCTTTATATAGGCCCACGATACATTGTTGTAAAAAGGAAATATCAAAACCTAATGTAAAAAGGAAAACTCTCAAAAACTAAAAAGGAAAAAACACCAATAAGGCAATATCCCTTGTCACGTATCAGTTTAATTTGCAGAAGTCATGAGGCTCAAATAAGTTGTTTCATCTATCTTTTCTCAAATACTAACCTTAGAAAAAGGTACAGTCCAACCATCTTCAAGTGACCATTCCAATGATGGTCGCAAATCCTTAGACATGGCGTCATAGATACTCCCTTCGCCATGTGGTGGAGCCAACAATTCAATCTGCGAAATATACCATAAAGAAACACACAATAAGTTTTTACTACAAAGTTCAAAAACCTCCATCTAATGCCACAAAAAAAAGCTTGAATGGAACTTATGGAAGCAAAGAGGCTATAAGCATAAACACATATACAGTCAACATTTTGTAAGAAAAATACATGTAAAAAGAGACTAGTCAAGATGATCATGCAAAACTAAAGTATTACAATGAAACATAGATTTGCAATATAACAAGATAGAGTAGGAGTAGAGCAAAACAATTTAAAATCGATAGCAAGTTTATCGGTAATATAAACCTTTAAATACCTGTACTGATCCATTTTCTTTCACTTCCAGAACCGTCCCAGACCAATAACAATAGGCTTCCCACCAATCAACCAAATCACCAACCTTCCAATCATCATGAACAACAGCAGCTTCTTCTAGACCACCACCCTCCTTGTTAAGGACTTCATTTTCATGACATTGTCGTGGATAGACAGGTCGAATCATTAGGTGTTTCTCACTCCCACCTTCGAGTTGTTGAAATACTTTTGTTGTATGTATACCTGAGGCATGTGGATAACAAATTCACATCTAAACATTTAACAATGGTGTATTGGTACTAAGTATATATTCAGCTTAAGAATTACTCTCTCCGGGATAATCAAGATACTCCACATCATAGAATAATGCTCTCCTTTTCTGAGATATCTTCAGAATCTGATAAACCATAAGAAAGCAAAACATTGATTTTTTACATAAATATGATAGTTCTAAAAGTTTTTAGAACACTTATACACATTTCAAAGTGTAATCTTAATCATTGCTTCCTTTAGAATGTAAGCAAAAAAAAAGTACCTTGCATCGAAACCAAGCACCACGATAACCCGATATAAAAGATCTTAATTCTACAGTTTGACCAACTTCAAATGGTAGATTGATTTGAGTCATTACTGTTTAACTGCATATAATCAGAATGTATTAAAATAAGTCAGATTAGGAAGATAAAAATGCCAAGCAAACATATGAGTGTTTTTCGCTTCCCCATTCACAAGAACCTGTGTCTAAAACCAACACAAATCTGACCTAAAATCATTGCAAAACAAGCAAAATCGATACTTTCCAGATTTTCCTCAGTCACCAGACATAATTGTGGAGAGATAAATGCAGATATCTAAATAGAAAAACTTAGATTATACTTGTTAATCACCAAAGTAGTTACACTAAATCATCTATTCAGATAAATCCTTTGACATTGTTCAAGTTTAGAGTTTTGCTTTAATGATAATCACAAGTAAAAGAACCTTCAATGGCTTCACAAGGAGTCTTGAAACCCAAAGCAATGTTCCTTTCCCAGATTTCTTCGAGCTAAAACACACCATTAAACCCCAATCATATGAATCAAAGAATCAGATTCGCAAAAAGAAAAAGAGAATCTATCAATTAGAGAGAAATCGATGCCTACTTGTTGTTGCCTCGTGACTTGCTCTCTCTTATGGCTTCAGAGATTAAAGAAGAAGAGATCGAAGAAGGAAAAAGCAAACCCAACGTTGAATATCAAGATCAGTGAGTCAAGAAACACTCTCCAGAAGATCTCAGGTCGATTTTGGAGATGGATGGATAAACCTCTGATCTTATTTGTGTTGAATAAACCTCACGAACTCAATTTCTTTCCTTTAGTTGTAATTGTACTTCCTCTTTTTGATTTTCCCACACACAAACAAAACGGTTTGATCCGAACCGAATTTTTATAATACCCCAAATGGGTCTCGGTCCTCCTAACCGAATAGACCTGAAATCTGAAAAAGGAACCGGATCGGATAATTAAGATAGAAAAATTCATTATCCGTATGGATTTTGTGACTATTCGGTTCGGTTTCAAAATCGAATTTGTCGGATCGGTTTTTAGATTTCGGGTTTTATGCCCGGCCCTGTATAAACTTTTCTTGTACTAGTGAGGGCTTGAAAATGCTTTGGTTCAAGTTGAACCGGTTACATCGGGTTGGTTCAATTTGAAACCGGTTAAATCGGGTTAGTTCAATTTGAAACCGGTTTAATCGGGTTAGTTCAAATTAAACCGGTTTAAATCGGGTTAGTTCAATTTGAACCGGTTTATATCGGATGGGTCAGTTTGATAAACACTGATGCTAAGGAAGAAGATCCTCTCTTCTACTGCGCCAAGCTCAAACCTTTTAAAGCTTTACTCTTTCATTTTCACGAAACCAATTCCAGAGATCATTATCGTTCCTAAACAATTTCAAAACCACAATGTTCAACAACAACAGTGTCTCGATCTCAGTATCAGACGACGAATCCAACGATTTGAATCGGATCCGAGCTCGAACCCGACGAAAGCGGAAGAAATTGAGTCACAGAACCACCTACGAGCTTCCTCGTCACGTTCTAAGGCTTTTCGTGAGATACTGGGTCGTATTAGTTTTTCTTCTCGCAGTTGTGTTGCTTGTATTTGAATCAACGAGGATTGGGATCAAATCTAGTGTGTTGAAGAATCCAGATTCGAGTGGAAAAGAGAGTCCTAGTAAGAAAAATGAAGGAAATTTGAATCGATTGGATCCGACTACGAAGGTTATTGGTGGTGTTAGACAACGTAAGCTTGATTTGATTTGATTATGTATGAATAAGCCATGAAATGTTAAAAAAAGATAGTTTCTTTAATTTGCTATTGGTTGGTTAAAACTTGGGTATTGTTTGGTTTTGTTTGTTTTGTGTTGTGGAATGATTAGTTGATAGTGTAAGTGTGTATGATTTGTGGTAGGTTGTTTGAAGCTTTTGCCACCTGAGGAGCTTGAGCATCTTGATATCTTAGAGCGGAAAGATTCAGGCACTCCGGTTAAGAGAGTTGTGTATCTAACTGATGCGGATGTGTCGATGGGTGAAATGAAAGCTGTTCGAGGTAATGGGACGCGGTTTAATTTATTCACGGGGAATCAGACTTTTGCTGAGAGAGAGAATAGTTTTCAGGTCATGATTTGGTAACTCTACAAGGCTAAGAACTTGAGTTTCCTATAGTTCTAGGGAGTTTTTGATGGATCTTGAACTGAGTATTGATTTTATTGCATCAGGTAAGGGAAACAGTTTCTTTGCATTGTGGATTTTTTAATGAAAATGGGGGGTTTAGGATTTCGGATAAGGATAAGAGGTTTATGCAAACATGTGAAGTTGTAGTCTCGACGTGTGCGTTTGGTGGTGGTGATAATCTTTATGAACCTATTGGAATGTCTAAGGCATCAAGTCAAAAGGTTGGTCACTCTGATTTTCTCCTGTCCACTGCTCTTTAACTGTTTATCTTGCATATCGAGTACGGATTTTGATCAAATGGTTTGTCTTTCTCTGCTGCTTATGCAGGTTTGCTATGTTGCGTTTTGGGATGAAGTTACTCTTGCAACACAAGAAGCAGAGGGTCATAAGATCGATGAGAATGATCACATTGGAAAGTGGCGTATTGTGATTGTAAAGGATCTGCCTTTTACAGACCAAAGGCTTAATGGGAAGATCCCAAAGGTACTATTCTTCTACTTCAGAGGCACATGTTATTATCTGTAGTGCATGTAACAGTTTAATTCGCTGGGGTTTAACTGGTTCTGATTATGCGTTCATGGTACTCCTTGTAGTAGATCCTTATACTTTTGCTTTTGTGCGTATTTGCTTATATCTCACTTCTGCTTAGAGGCTGATAAACTTCTTTGGTTAAGAATTGTTTCCATTACAACCAAACTTCAAACTTCTTTGATTATTTTGTGCTGTGTTATATGGTATGTGCTTGATTTGAATTAGCTCGCTGTTGTCTTTTTTTCTTACATCTATCTATCTTGTTTAAATATGGTTGGAGTTAAATATTTGAGTTTCCCTTTTGCTTTCAAGCACATGTATGTATGATATAAGATGTTTTCATAAAGATTTTAATGAATCTACATGTTGTCAGATGTTGGCCCATCGCCTTTTCCCGGATGCCAAGTACTCGATTTGGGTAGATTCAAAGTCCCAGTTTAGAAGAGACCCACTTGGTGTACTAGATGCTCTTCTTTGGAGAACAAACTCGGTGCTTGCAATTTCAGAACATGGAGCTCGAAGCAGCGTATATGATGAGGCAAAAGCTGTTGTCAAGAAACACAAAGCTACACCCGAAGAAGTTGAAGTCCAAATAAATCAATACCGACATGACAAATTACCTGAAGATAAAAGATTCAATGGGAAAAAAGGTAAATCTCTTTTCATCGTCGGTGTTGTACCAAAGCTCCTAAACTTTGAGGATGGAAGTAATTTTTGGTTGGTTTACTTTCTTACAGCTTTATCTGAAGCCTCTGTGATTGTGAGGGAACACACTCCATTGACAAATCTCTTCATGTGCCTCTGGTTCAATGAAGTTGTCCGCTTCACTTCGCGTGATCAATTGAGTTTCCCATACGTTCTTTGGCGATTGAAAGTTCTCAAGAACATCAACATGTTCCCTGTGTGTACACGTAAAGATCTCGTCAATAGCATAGGCCATGTACGCAAAGCTAAACCATTAGTTAGTCTATGAATGTGCCTTAACTTTCCAATTCATTGGTTATTTTAGAATCCTTTTTGTATTTAGCGTGCAGACATAAAAACAGAACTGACATATTTTAAACTGAAACTGAACTAAACCTGATCAGAATAAAAATAACAGCTTGAGGACAAAAGAAGGTAGTGGTTTAGTTATGTTGTGGAAGTAGTAGTTATACCAAAATCACTAATCTAACTTTAAAACCAAAGAGGTTTGTTGAAAGAACAGTTAGAAACTCCTCTTTGTATCTCATATTCTTCTCCGATCATGCTAACTAGAATCATCTTCCTCATCGCTGTCGCCACTGCTTTCCTCGTTGTTCTTCTACTCGCTTTATTCTCACCCGTTCCTGATTACGACCCGCCTGGATCATTCTTCTCCTTCTCCCTCTATGTTCAACAAACCCACACCCCATCTTCCTCCTATTCTTCTCGTCGGTCCAGCCAACACATAGCCCAACCGCACAGCCACGGAGGAGGAAAAGGAGCATTGATATTCCGGCGTACTCTTACGGAAGGACCCGAAAACAATTCACGGATCGTAGGCAAAGCCGAGGGATTTATAATCCCACATGAAGACTTTGCTAACTCGGATTTTAACGTGATATACTTGACGTTGGAGACTCCTGAGTACACCGGGAGTGTTAGCATTAGGAGCAGAGACATGGCACATAAATTGAAAGAGGTTATGGAGGTAGTAGGAGGGACAGGAGCTTTCGCTTTTGCTCGCGGAATCGCCATGTTTAATGAGATTGATGATCATGAGGAAGAAGCTGTAACCACTTACCGTGTTAAGCTTCTGCTTAGATTTCCACATACTTCTCACGTAGATCCACAATGATGAACACTTTTGTATTACAATACATATATCTGTGTATAAATAAAGTTATTTACAGATTCACTACAGATTTTTAAAGAACTCGAAGCGAGAAAAAACCCAACGATCACATTTCTTTTTTTTTTTCCAACGAAACCTACTTTGTTTAAGTCTCGACTTGATTATTATTTAACGGTCATATCAACAACCGGATATTAATTACTTAACGCGTAATAATATCGTACACAGCCTTTTGCTATGCTCCACAAATTTTCGTTTGCTTTGAGAAATCTTTCTTTTGTTTGATAAACGATGGGAGGTTGTTTTTCGTTGTCGATCTCAAGTGATCAAGTGGTGAGTCAAATTTCTCAATGGTTATGTGTTAGAAAGAATTATATTCACAACCTAAAGAAGAATCTAAAAGGCGCTCAAGATAGCTAGCCATGAAAAAGCTCAAAGCAAAGCCAAGTTGATATGCTTGGAAAGGTAGAGAGTTTAGAAGATAATGATTGAGCTGTGAAACATCTTGTAGATGTCGAGGTATGGCTAAAAAATGTTGATAACGTCAATAGCAAAGTCAATGACTTGCTTAGTCCATCTACTGTTGAACTTGAAAGGTTGTGTGTTTGCGGGTTATGTTCTAGGAACTTAAGATCGAGTTATGGCTATGGGAAAATGCTTTGTTTGATGTTAAAAGAGGTTAATGATCTCATGCCTGAGAAAGGTTTTACAGGTTTTGATGGGTCAGCTACAACATCTATGGGAGATGAGAGGCCACTACAACCAAATATTGTTGGACAAGAAAGGATTCTTGAAAGTGCGTGTAACCGCCTCTTGGAAGCTGAAACCAAATTTGTGGGAATGTACGGTATGTGCGGAGTAGGAAAAACAACTCTACTTTCACATATCAATAATGAGCTTCATAGTAGAAGGTATGGATTTGAATTGGTGATTTGGGTTGTTGTGTCGCAAGATTCAAGGGTCCGATGATTCAAGAAACTGAAAAACTAGGCCTTCGTGGAGAAGAATGAAACCAAAAAAGAGGAAAGCGAGGTATCGATAGAGCTACAAACCGAGGTTTTGAGATAGTTAGTGTTCTTTCTCGGGCAAAATTATTGATGGAAGATGGTGGAAGTAAGCAATATGTTAAAATGCACGACGTTCCGCGAAATAGCTATGTGGATAACATCTACTTTTGGAAATGATAAAGAACGATGGGTTGTGCAAACAAATGCTGGATAATGTGATGTGCCAGCAGACAATGATTGGGGAGCAATGTGTAGGATTTCATTGATTGATAATTGTATTAGAGAGTTATCTGGCAGCCGAAAATGTCTCTCAATTCAGAATTCTCTTGCTCCACAATAACCATAACTTGGAGCATATATCCGGTGAGTTCTTTCGATATATGCCAGAATTAATTGTTTTGAATCTATCGTCTAACTACCTTAAAAATTTGCCAGAGCAACTATCAAATCTCATATAGTTGTGATATCTAGATTTATCATTGACAGAAATAAAGCTATTGCCTATTGGTCTACGAAATCTGAAAAAAGCTGATTCATATGAATTTGGAACTGATAAATAATATTCTTAGAAAAATTGGTGAGATAGCAAATGTATTAAGTCTGAGAGTGTTGAGGCTTCTAAATTCCAAGTGCTTGATAGATCGTTACACAATGATTAATTTAGAGGAATTGAAGAATTTAGAGTGGTTAATTAACCATAGACATCTCCTAAAGTTCGGTTTTGAAATGAATAAGAAGTGCCTACAAGCGAGCAAATTGCATTCAACGACTAATAATTATTATTTCACCACATGTTAGCTGAATATTATTTATTAGAATTAGAATATTGATATATTAGAAATTATTATTAGACAACCCCTATGTAATATAATTATTAGAATATATAACTGTGAAATAATTTAATAATATGTGATGTTTTTATTTATTTCATTATGATGAGAAAATATAAATTTTGATAGATTTTTAAATTAAGTTACCGTAAATAATTTAATGTTAAATTTCTACTTTAAATAATGTAACATAGACAAAATATAGACATTTTTTTTCTTATTAAGTGAATTTGATTAAAGATGATCATGTATACTTATATTTAGAACCAATATATTTAAAGGGATTTGACATATAGACGACATATGTCGAGAAGGGAGATGTCGTATGTCAGCTTATTAAAATTTGTTTTTAGGAGGAACCTAACTTTATTATGTAAGATAGCATCTTAAATGAAGATTACTGATATGGGTCATATTGCCTAAAGACTAGGGGTGGGCATTTCGGTTTAACTTCGGGTTCGGTTTGGGTTCAGTTCAGTTTATGTTTGGTTCGGTTTGGTTCGGTTCGGTTTTACTTCGGTTCGGTTTGAATTCGGTTCAAAAAATCAATTGATGTAACAAAACAAAAAAATTCATTGTTTTTGAAGTTTGAACATTGAAATTGATAAAGTAATTAAATATCAAGTTCAAGTTGTAAGTTTTTTAGAAGGAGAACCCTAAGTTTTTTAGGGTTAGAGTTTTAGAGATAATTAAATCTATTTTATATTTATTAAAATTATTATAAAAGTAAAAATAAACACATATTTAGTTATTTATAATATTATTAATATAATTAAATAATTAATTAAATAAACACATTGGGTTATCGGTTCGGTCCGGTTAGACCCATTTGGGTTGAGAATAAACCCAACCGAATGGTTTGAGTCTAAGCTTGGGTTCGGTTTAGGTCGGTTTGAGTTCGGTTGGGTCGGTTCGGTTCGGTTCGGTTTAAATGCCCACCCCTACTAAAGACCACTCTCTCAAATAACAGATCGTGTGTAGCACTTTAAGGTTGGATTCCACAAAGCTCTTGTGTTCACACAATAGACTAACAGGTTTACGAATTAAGCTAAACATAAAATAAGAATATTAAAAATAAAGAAAGCAATTAAATTCGCGTTTTAAATCAGATGAGGAAAATGTCACGCTTAGAAAATTTCTCAAGAAATATCAGAATTGTACATCTAGCAATAAATTAGGAATTATTAAAGAACTGTTCTATAACTCAAATCACAAAAATATAATCAACCAACTCTCGTCTGTATTTACTCTCTATGCCTAATAGCAGGAATTCCAACTCTCGTATGTATATCCCTAAAACTAAACAAGCATTAAGATCATGTTCAATATGTTCACAAAAGTATCTAGATCCAACTCTCGTCTGTATCTAGCTACTTCTGCCACCAAAGATAGTTACAGTAATAAGCGCACTCTCGTGTCTAACCTATAATCCTAAGATCAAATTCTAGGTGATCAATCTAGAATTAGTATTAAGAACAATCAAAAGTGAAGAACTCTATAGATTTTATCCTAACAGATTATCGATCTACTAATTCATCTAAATTCCTAAACCTAACAAGCAAACTACTCAGACATGGAGATTAAAACGAACAACATGATTGAATAGAATTGCATTAAGGAATTAAGAGAAGAAGTAAAAGAGTTTAAGAAATCTTCTATAGAGGGGGGCTCTCTCCAATTATCTCCCAAAAAGTTTAAGCTCCGTAGAATACAATAGAATGAGAGATAGGTCTAAAAAAAGTTCCTAAAAATCTATTTATATATTCTTAAAAATGTGTAGTGATTTCTTTGAAAATAAAGAAAAGTTTTGGAGCGATTTTGCAAATCTTCATAATTTTAAAGACACGTGAAATTGAATTGCCGTCAGATATTGGTTTCGATCGACACCCACACCAAGATTGGTCTCCGGATTGCTTTTGTAGCATAACTTCTGGATTTTGCTTCAGAATGATCAATAGTCTCCAAATTGGTCTCGTACGTGCATTAACCTGAAAAAGACTCTAGAAATAACAAAAAGACTCTAAATACAATACTTATATCATGGTTAAAAACCGTAAAAACTATGATATATCAATTACTACATATGACTGTTAAGTTTGATTATTATTATTAATTAGATTTGCAATTTTTAATGTTAAGATTTTCTTCAAAATTACAAATCTAATGAAAATTAATTTTTGTTCTGCTACAGGTTGTAGATAATCGAGATGAGTGAGCATCACGTTTTTTTTAATGAGTGATGGTAAATCATTACATCATGTTTTTTTGTTTAGTTTACTTATATTAAAACAAAAAAAAAAATTATGCGTATATATTTATATTCAAAAAATTTAATTCTCGAGCATAGGTTTTTATTATTTCCAAATTAAAAAATTTAATGAAAGTTAACTCACCGTTAAATTTGTGGTGTTAAATGAATATAATTTTAAAGTTAATGTATTGTTTTGGAAAATAAATTGATGTATTAGACTGCATATGATAAAAGATGATATATTAAATTAGTAATTAAAGTTAATGTGGTGTATTAATATAAATGGGATTTAGTATGTACTGAGGTCTATTTGATTTTTAATTAATTATATGTATAAGTATATGTATGTATCAATAACATCCTCTCTTTTCTTCATCGAACCTCAATTCTCAATCGAATCTTGTATTGGGATTTTTGTCTAAATTAGGTCGAAAAATTGTTCCTCTCAATGTTAGACGACAACGGCGCACCGGTGACCGAGGACACCATACAAAAGTGGCCCAATGTCTTACAAGAAGAGCTTAAGAAGGCTAACATTGAAGTTACCATGGCAGGGAGAATTACAACTCCCTCGCTCGGGCTTTCTAGTCGCTTCAATCAGATAATGCAATCATTCGTAAAACTTTCGATGTTCGACTAGCTGAGCTCGCTGAGTCGGCAAGTCTCAAAAGCAAAATCACCTGCATAATTTGATGATACGTCCTTTTGTTTTTGTGTGCGTGTGTGGATTGAGTGTTTTTTGGGATTCGATGGAAATACTTGTTTGATGTAGATAAAGAGCTATCTAGACTTAGTGCGACTAACGGATGAAATGTCTACCGATGTGTTGAACCTATTTCACTCCAGGCAACAAGTGGTAGAGTCGTTGGAGCAGATTAGAAAGACAACTACAACTATTTATAGCGATTTGCTAAAAACCGTGAGTGAGTCGTCCTTATTTTCTGCCATATTGAATGATTTGATTTTTCCAACT